CCTGACAGCCAATATCTACAAACCCATGTTCCCTTTCTGTTTGGCTTCTCCATTGTCCCATACAAGATTTGAGCCCACCCCCACTACTCTATCTCAGCTATGAGTGGAGAGCTTTTATTCGTATGTCCTCACTTATCTCATTTTAAATTTAAGCCAATGTATATGTGTGCAACACATTGTAAGATTTTTATTTTATGTGTGTAAGTGTCTTGTCTGTGTGTATGACCATGTACCTCATGTGTGCCTGGTACTAACAGAGACCATCAGATCCACTGGAACTGGGGTTACCAATAGTTGTGAGCCACCATGTAGGTGCTTGGGATAAAACCCTCAGAAGGTAAGCAAGTGCTCTTACCCTCTGAGCCAGTTCTCTAGCCCACGTGTATTTTTCTATTTGCATCATGGCTGTTTAGACATACTGTAGAATGTGGTGCGTGTTTTCTACACTTGCTTTACCACTGCTTAGCAATATACTGCTTCGTAGAAGCACAGAGAGAGGAACCCTTTCACTTTCACTGCTGCACAGAGAGAGGCTGTCATTTACTTCTTCTGTATCCCATAGGAGGATGCCCAGGTCATGTCCAGTTCTGTTTTGTTACTCTAATTCCTCTTGCAAATAGAACTGATAGAAGAATTCTTATTGAAATATCTTTATCTTTTTTCTGGGTTTTATATATGAGGATACTTTATAGATTTGGAATAGCTATGTCCAAGAATAATGATGCTATTTATTGGCAAATCTTCACAAGAAAATCATGAGCACATTTATTTCCATATTGTCAAATTTTGAGTTTTTTGACAACCTAATAGCTGAAAAGTATCACCTCTAATTATTTTATTTTTCACTATGCATAAAAGGGCATATGACTTATTCCCCCGCCTCCAAATATTTTCAAGACCTCAGTGTTTTCACACCTTTCTTCCCACTGTCATGCATCTTTGTATGAAACACCTTCCCCCCCTAAACAGCTGATCTTTTTTCTAATCTATTTTATTTTTACCTTTAAATAATCAATTCTATTTCAGAGGAACTATCGCATCCCTCTCAAATATCATCAAGGTTATTATTATTATTTATTATTGTTGTTGTTGTTATTACTTGTCTCATCTTTTTTTTCTTTTCTAAAAATTTTTCTTCATACAAAGTATTTTGATAATGTTTGCCTCTGCCCTTGCTCCTCCCAGATCTTCCTCAGCTCCCTTCCCAATAAACTTTGTATTCTCCTGCTCTTAAAAAACAAACAAATATGAGCGTCAAAACAAACAATAAGACCAAAAGTAACAAAACAAAATGGAACAAAAATCCCACAAAAAATGTAGTGCTTGTCCAATAATATTAGAAAATAATTATAAATGGGCTCCTTTTCAACCATTAAGTGAGTTGCTAGCTTGTCTTATCAAATACCAAATCCGTTCATCTGTCCTGTGCCTCTTAAGGACATTTCAAGCTGTCTTGGAAAATGGGAGTCGAGCACACTTATATACCACTTACCACAAATGTCCAATGTCTGAGTTGTGTCATTCTTTAATTAATTAATTCTTCATATTTTTGCATTTTTATTAAATCTGTTCTTTGACAATTTCATACATGGGTATAATACATTCTGATTATTCTCACCCCCACCGTCTCCCTCATTTATGTCTTTTTGTTTTGTGGCGCACTAAGTTATACCGACCTGGCCCATCTGTGTGATGTTGAGTTTGGTGCTCACTGGAGACTGGTCTTTGGAGGCTGGTCTACTTACCAGTGAGCAAAGGAAATAAAGGCAAGGGCTGGGCTTTGCCCAGAATCTATCACTAGCCAATAGTTCAGCAAGAATGATGAGAGCCACTACGCCTTGCCCAGAATCTATCACTAGCCAATAGTTCAGCAAGAATGATGAGAGCCCCGCCCTAATCCGTGACTGATTGCTGACAAGGCCAGTCTTGTGCAGGATCCGAGCGGGTAAGAACAGCGCTCTGAGTCCTTATTAGCAGGCTGTCATCGTTCCTTGCTTAGAGGATGGGGGTCCACAGCCTTCCTCTCTTATCTTTCCGATCTTACACTCTTATAGTCTGCTCTTGGGCGATGTCCTCTGAGCCTTGGAGGACATGGTGTGAGAATCTTATTTAGAGCTGAGCATTCAGCTGTCTCATATTCTCAGCATTTGGAGCAGCTGGACATCTCTGCCTTCGTTACTATTGGCTACAAAGAGTTTCTCTGCTTAAGGCTGAGAGTAGCATTTGTCTACAAGTATAAGCATACACACCTAGAAAACAGTTTGCCTCTGTCTCAATTTAGATAAACAAACAACAGTAGTAAGTTTCCTAGACAGTTTTTCACTTGAGGCTATAATACCAGGCAGGGATTCCTTCTAATTGATCTTGAAAGCTATTACATTCCCCCCTCTCTCTCTCTTTCCCTCCCTCCCCCCCTCTCTCTCTATCTCTGCTATTTCTATTTTATTTTTATTTTGTTTGTGATGGCTTAGTATGCAGTGTTTTTAAAAACTTTTGTTGAGTTTGTTCTTTGACAATTTTATAGCCGTATAACATGTACACTGACTACTGGTGGGCATTTTTTCATGCCAAAATTATCAAGAAGGATTTGACTTCGAAAGTGTGTTCATTCACATGCATGAAACAGAAGCATATGAAACTTTTTGCATGATGAGGCACTGTGTATCTCTGTCTTTGTAACTAAGTCTGGCTAACTTCATTGAATTGTCTATCAAACCAAAGTTCTTCCTCCTTTCTACATTTATTCTCACAACCCTAGACAGACATTCTCATTTCACCCCTTTAATACAAGCACCGCCTCAGTGTTCTTCCTGCTTCCTGACATTCTCACACCTCCAAATACTTGCAAGGCCTGGGTGCTTATCCAACTTTCCTTTCCACTGAATGATGACACAGAATTCAGTATAAATTCAAGAAAATCCTTACATTCTCTCCATCCTGCTCACTGAGCCCTGTCTTCCTCTGTAATCTACACACACAATTGGCAGGTGATTGGACCCATCAAAAGTCCAAAAATAGGCCCATTTAAACCTGTGCTCATCATCTGCATGTTTCATCCTTTCTTCTCCACACAAATAGTTTATTTCACTCATTGGTAAGTACCTTTGTTTTTAATACATTGCATATTCACTCAACTGACCTCTCACTTAAGACTGGGCACCATGCTAATAAATGCAAGTGAAACATTTCTTGAGACTAAGACCTTTTAGGCTATGCCTTGGGAAAGGGAGATAAAGCAAAACAGTTCTGATATGATTTGATACCCTAGAACTGAGGCAATAGTGAAAGAAAGATTCAGTTGAGTGTAGTAGATGTCAAGAAAGAGGTCACAAGTAAGCTATGCTGGGCATTGAAAGATGAGTAAGAGTTTGCTAACTTGACAAAGAAGAAAACAACATTCTAGGCAAATAGACTATTCTAGGCATAAGAAATGGCACTAGATTATCATTCTTCATATTCTATAAGAGACTGGCTGTGCCCCTGTAGTTCAATTGGGACCCCAGTCACCTCATTTGTAAGGAATGAACAAGAATTGCACTCACCTCACAGAGTCCGTGAGAAATATAAATAAGATAACAATTACACAGGACTCCAAAAGTTCCTGGCACACAGTAGGCATTCAACTAATTTTAACTAGCAGGGTTATCACACTGTCCATTGGGAATGCAGAGATTTAAATATCTAATTATTATTTTATAGACTAGCCCAACAAGCTCCTTACCATGTATATATCCTGTCCCCTTAATCATTTGTAAGATGCAGATGAAAGTGCATGCCTTTATTTCTATCTTATCTCAAGCAAAACTTCTCCAATATAATCATTGCTGAGGAAAAGAATAACTCAAAATATTAAAAAGGCATACCTTTTAAAGTTATTTATCTTTTGGGAATTTCATGCATTTAGACAATATATTAAGACGATTGCATTGCACATACTCATTGGGTTTGTTGACTTACCAAAAGGTTGACCAAAATGTGCCCTTAAGACACCCACACTAAAAAGTGAGTGTTATTGCAAAGTTGTTTCACCTTGCAGAGATTAAGAAAGACAAGATTGATAGGTCCTTCACTAAGTGTGCTCACACCTGACTGACCAGGGGGGAAATACAATATTCTTTGCTTATTGCAAGCTACCTCCTTCACACACACACCCCCAAATACCAATGTTCCATCCTATTTTCCTACCAGCATCCCATAAGGCCTGCTTGGAACTATTGCTTCCAGAGATATAGTCACCATAATGTCTGTTCTGAACATATTACCCCAGGATAAGGCCAGACATAAAGAATTAACACCCAACCCAAGGAGACAAAGTCATGAACTGTGTCCAACTTGGGGGAATAGATCAAAGGAAGAGAAGGAAAGCTGATTCTCTTTGCCAAATTACATAGCACAGAGTACAGCAGGAAAGGGAAGCAGCACCTTTTCTATATATAGACAAACACAACTAATTGGCTAAAACTAACTGCTCTTCTGTAGTATAAACAAGAGTCACGTGGTTAGTAGCCCTCAGTCAGGTATAAAAGCAAGAGACAGCAAGGGGGGAGACCAGACTAGGAACTCTTACCACCTTGTAAAACCACTCAGAACCTCCACCTCTGACACCATGGTCAACTCCTGTTGTGGCTCTGTCTGCTCTGAGGAGGGCTGTGGCCAAGGCTGCTGCCAGCTCAGCTGTTGCCAAACCACCTGCTGCAGGACCACCTGCTGCCGCCCCAGCTGCTGTGTGTCCAGCTGCTGCAGACCCAGCTGCTGTCAGTCTGTGGGCTGCCAGCCCCCCTGCTGCCGCCCCAGCTGCTGCCTCTCCCACTGCTGCCAACCCCCCTGCTGCTGGTGCCGCTGCTGCTGCCCCCCCCGCGCCCCCCCCCCCCTCGGTCCTGCCCCAGCTGCTCCCACCCCTCCTGTGGTGGTTCCAGCTGCTGTTGCCGCCCCTGCTGCCGCCCCTGTTGCCGGCCCTGCTGCCAGCCCTGCTGCCGCCCCTGCTGCCGCCCCTGCTGCCGCCCCTGCTGCTGCCTGCGTCCAGTCTGTGGTCAGGTCTGCTGCCAGAGCACTTGCTACCGCCCCACCTGTGTCATCTCCACCTGCCCCCGCCCCATGTGCTGTGCCATCCCTTGCTGCTGAATCTTCGCTTTCAATGCACCATCTATCTCCTCATTCTCTAAAAATGAAGTCCATCCTTCTAGAAAACATGTAGTGTTGGAGGGACATGATTTCCTGAGTCCCAGAAATTAGTGTTATTTGCAGTTTTTCCGTGTGCACATTCTGACTTCTGTCCAAAGTTCTTCCTCTTAGAAATAATTCATCAAAAGTTTCCCAATAACTTAACAGGTCTCCCCACATGTCTTACCTTGTCTTTTTATCTATTTATCATGCTGGAGGAATTTGAATTATTCCTGGCACTTGTGGGACCACAAATTTTAACCCTTCTGCCATTACAATCCAATGAAGTGTCTTTTGTAGTCTTTCATACTTTGCTATTTCTATGTAACAAAATAAACATCCATCACATGGGTACTGAAAATTGAATGTTATTGTTATTTTCTTTTTAAAAAATAAAAGAAAAAAGTAAATGTGTAAATAAAAAAGGGGGCAAGATAAATGGTTCAGCAGATAAAAGCACTTAATTAAGAATCTGACTATCAGAGTTTCAAATCTGGCATTCACATTGTGGGGGAGAGAACTGGCTCCTACATGTTGTTATCTGTATGCTATGGCAACTGCAAACACACACACACACACACACACACACACACACACACACTGAGAGGGGGAGGAAGAGAGAGAAAGAATATTCAAAAAATTATAAAATAGAGAAAGAAACCTTTTCATATGCTTCCTGGATAAATGTATTTTTGTCTTCATTTAGTTCATTTTTGAGATTATATTTTAGTTACATTTCCCCCTCCAAATCCTTCCATATACCCCACCCCCACTCTTTTTCAATTCCATGGCCTCTTTTCTTCAGTTGTTATTGTATACATAATTCT